GTACGTTTCGTATTTTCAGTCGAGTTATTTATTTGGAGCTGTACGTACAAAAAAAAACGATTAAAAAAGCAGTCAGTAGACAACGAGACAAACTGATTTGTAACACATTCTATAATTACGACCCATTTTCGTCATCGAACTTCCGACATTACAACTGTCTACACAGAAGTCTGAATCCTTTTAATTTATAATGTTTTTTTTCTTTCTCGTCATGTTCGCTGACTAATGCAATTAAGTTCCTAATAAATGTGTCATACTAATTAGGCTGTTGCTGTATTCATTTTAAATAAATTTTTAATTGCTTTGTCTATCTGTGAAACTGTAGGTTTATAATTCGATGAGATTTTAAAAAAAATTGTATGAACAAAGCACAAAATGAATGGATGTCGAGAACAAGATACAGTATAATAAAATAATTTTGTTCTTTTAAAATTATTTGGTTTTATCAGATTTATTTTAATTCAACAATACAACGGTGAATTTATTCGAATATTTTGTATATCGCGGAATGAACGTATATCTACGGAGAAAAAATGTTTTGATTTCATAATAAATTTCTTTCCTCTTACGAGGGAAGATCCCTGGATGTTTATCTGGGATTTCAACGAAACCTATGTGGGTTTGTGAGGTCAAGTGCTAGCATCTCTGATACAGCAAAATTAGCGGCCGAGAATAATCTGTTGAAAAATTTGGAGTGAAATCATTTTTAGCTTAGAACCCTGAGGGGGACCAAAGCTGAATATTTTACACTAAACCAAGTTCACCAAAAATTTGAAATACTCTTTAGTCACCTCAGTTTTTAATGCTCATTCCAGATATGTTATTGGTTTTCGCTAGTGATGTATTTGTCTCATCGAAAGTTGCGAATTATATGTCAGAAACGTAGAAAATTATATCTTAGCATTATTCTATTAGGAAGTTTGTAAAGCACAAATCTTGTAAGAGTTTTAAAAAGTATGACTTTATAAAATTTCAAAAGCTGTATCGACTGATATACGAGGAATTGCATGCATCGAATGATGTGATTTTTCTATCGATCATCAAACTACTGGTAGAACAGAATTTTCATATAGCTTACCACCGATTGACAATAAAATGGCAAATAAAAAGATATGAATAAACTTTTCTCGTTAAATTTATGTGGAAA